TCTCCTCTGGAACCGGGGACAAGTTGCATTCATTTTTATATCTACATGGCTAATTTGGTTTGTAGCACATAGTAGGTACTGAAAGTGTTTAGTGACTAAATAATAGAATAAAAGAATGAAAAATTACCGGTCATACAAATACCCTGAGCACAGAAGACAACATTTCTCAAAGTGCAATCATAGAAGCTCTAAATCACAATCACCAAGATGCTAGTTAAAATGCACGTTCCTGGACCCGATCCTAAATCTTTTGAATCTGAATCTCTAGAAACGTAGCCTTGAATTTTCAGTTCTAACAGCTTATCCAGACAATCATGCTGAAGACTGGGGACCCATTACAGTAGCTATGTGATGCACAGCAGCTCTAGAAAATAAATAAAAGCATGACTTCTGTAAGTAATTTCAGCTCCTTGGGCTTTATTTTCCTTCTCTGCAGAGTAATTCTTGAATGACTGCACTGTATTCTCCTCCGAATCACATGGATTTGGTGGTCAGTGCCACTGAAGGAAGTCAGGCAGGGCTCACTGCTTGTTAAGGGCAAAGAATGGAAGTCTTCGGGCATGTGCTCAGATTGCTTTGGTCCTCTAGGGTACACGGTCCCTGCTTCTCAATGACTCCAAACAATAATGTGCCACCTACTTTGATCCACTGGTCTTATGAAATCCTTACAGTGTTTTCCAGTCAGTGGTTCTTTTTTCTTCCCCTCCTCTGTCAGAGCTAGGCAGCTCTTAATCTGTTTTTCGGAGGTGGGCTAGAGATAGATGAAGTAGTTTGAATTTGCAAGGCCAACACATATCATCCTGGTACAACCCCAGCCACACTGTCCCTGAGACAGTTTCCATCAGATATGATGAATGGCCTAAAAACAGCCAACCAAACCAACAAACAAAACAGTTGGAGTGGAAGAAAGGCCAGTCAACCATTTAATTTTATTCTTTTTTCATACTAGGTCAAGAGTGTCCATACTTCTTGACTGGCTGGACACTTTTTTAAAATGTTTGCACCTTTAAAATGTAGATCACTACTCTATTAAGGTATCATTTTACACTGCATTTTATAAGCCACTAAAGTTTTAAACATGTTAAAGAAAAATTTGAGCCTGTTTTCAGCCAGCCTCAAGAAAAACTGTAATTTAAAACATTTTCATTTGTTAGGAAAGCTCAATATGTAATACTTTCCTATTTTTCTGTGAAAAATACACCTTCATCAACTTTGGAAAAAATGATCTTCTTTCTCAGAAGTCACTTCACCTTGTCACTGAATGCAAACACCCTCATATTAACTTCCTGCATTGCTACATCAGGTTTCTAAAGAGAAAAAATATTTTTTATTCATGTGGAAGAGGCTTTGATTTGTATCATGAAGTCTAATAGTAGACTGAAAGCTATTTGAATGCAGAGAGAATGTCTTGGGAATTTTTACCTCCTTTCTACTGTATAGTAGTGTTTTATACATAGTAGAACTTTAGTAATTTTTATTTGAAAATAAATTGAATGTTGTTCTGAAGCAATGATGATAGCTAATAAATATTAAGTAATAAACAAATATTAAGTGCATAGCTAATAAACATTAAGTATGTGGGTACCAGCGCTATTCTAAGTGTTTTACAAATCAACGTATTTAACAACCCTGTGACGTTGTTACTTATCACCCCCTTTCTAGAGAGAGAGGCCGGGAGAGCTAAGTAGCTTGCTTACTCAAGGTCACACTACTAGTAAATGTTGAGTAAGAATCTGAACCCCGGCAGACTGTCTCCAAAGCTAGTATTCTTATTTGCAACATGGAATGATTTGCTCTTTATTGTTTTAACAGAAAATCACCATGATCCATATTTAACAGAAGAATAGATTCCTTCTGAAGTCCATGTTGAAAGCCCAAACCAGTACATTGTCTTGGCCTTTTCACCGCTGAAAAGTTCTTTGGTGCTTATTTGAAACAGATGCGAACACTTAAAACATCCATTCACGTTGCGTTTTTCTGTGATTTGCTGGAATATGTCAGGTTGCCTCCAGGAGACCCATTTCTAAATGACTGTCTGATTCCATTCGCCTTGCTACCCCTTCACAGACCTGCATCTTCGTAGATCTGTTGGAGCAGGGTTGGTCGGAGGTTGATTAGCATCTCTTGCCAACATTCTGTCTCCTTCTGTTGTAGAAAGCTCGAGGACAGCCAGGACAAGAAGCTGGGTGGGTTTTTCAAAGAAGTTTCTTCAACCATGCCTTGTGGCAAGACACGATGACGGGCTAATGGCAGTGCAAAGCTTATTCTCACATACTTTTAACTCCTGGAGTTTATTAGTTGGGAGTTACTTAAAAGCTTTTGCCTTTCAAATGGTTAGCTTTTTTCCATGGTATTGTTCTTCAGTAAACATAAGATTAAGTTGACTTTCTCTTATCACAACTTTTGCTTTTTTTTTTTAACTCTTTATTGCTTGCTCAAATCTTTTGATTGTTTAAACTGTAGATATAATTTTGCCTGCAAAGTGACAGGGCAGAAATGTCACTATGAGCCCTTAATGTGGGGCAGTCCTCTCTCTCTTGTCCCTGAGGATAGATTAATGAAGGTATCATTTTAATGCGCTGTATTTTTATCTATGGTAATAGGAATAATTTGGCATTGCCAGCCAATGAGTGCTTTGGTTAAACAAAGTTCCTGATTAACAAAAGCACAATGCCATGGATTCAGAAGGTCCTTCCAAATCTTATTTTATGTCAAAGTTATCTCAATGGTTATCAGTTAAAATCGTATTTGGAAAATGTTTGAGAAACAATTGAAGGAGATGTGTTTGGATTATACTTAGATTTACTGCAATTATGTTTTTGAGAATGGAGAACTTCTCTCTCACAGTGAAGCTTCAAGCTACTTCCATCCCCAAGCTCTAATCTATAGAAGAAATGTAGTAAAAATCTCCTTCTTATAATGAAATCCTCCTGATAATTTTGGCACCTGTATCCTTTAAATGGTACCTACCCCAGCGTCTGTTGTCTATTTTTATCACTGTACTTGGACATGGTCTGGGAATGTCCTGGTTGTGTATTCCTCAAATGCTGAGACTGTGTCCTCCTTTCAGACCCTGTGACTGGGATGGCAGATCTTTAGACCCTACATGTTTTGTTTGTGCTGGAGACACAAATTACAATATTTTATTTAATTTGGATGCCTTGAAAGGGCTTAAGGGGATGTTGCTTATTTATGGAGTTTCATTTTCAGTACTAAATATAAATAGTATCGTGGCACCTTTGGGGTTCTTGTGATGCTCACCAGTTGGGGGTTTTATGTAGATGACTGTCGATCTGAGGATTTTTTATTAGTCTGGTTCATCGCTATGGTATGGAGTAGCATTTCATATTTTTTTAGGATGCTTATGACCTTGTTAAATAGCAGTCCAAAAACCGTGCGGCTTGTTTTGATTTTAACCAAAGTTACAGCTGCCTAGCTGTAAAGCAGTCAGTTTCTCTTATTATGACTAGTTCTTCAACTTGTACTGTTTTAAATTGCCTGCAATTAGCATATTTCAACCTTATTTTTAGGTTTAAATTGCAGTGTGAGAGTGTACTCTCCTCTTAGCTAATTAGTGCTATCAAGGAACAGTAGGTTACCTCATTAGTACCATGTGCATTTAATTAAAGAAGAGAAAATTGGAGTTAACCTCATAGTTAATATTTTCACAGAGTGCTACAATGCCAACACCTTCGATTGGAGTCACACCCCTGTGTATCTAATTATGCACTGGTGCCAAATAAGGTTAGCAAGGGTACTACAAGGCTGTTGACAAAATAATTTAGATGAAAACGTGTTTGTTGGATCCTGACAGTAAAATATAACTTGAACATTTTTTCCTAGTCTTCATCTGCCAGCATCAGGTGACATACTTCTTCATAGGAAACTGAAGGGAAAGAATATTTTGGAAGCCATTTTTTTCTGTTTGAATTAATGTTGCTCTTATCTTGAAGAAAATGGCATATAGTCATGTAAAGCATATACAATCCGTTCCTTAAACAGAGCGCCTGAACTTCAGAGATGTATTTGAAAAGAATTATTTATAAGATGTAATATTTACATGCATCAAACCACTACAAATACTCTCTGACACCCCTACCACATCCCTCCTTGCTTTTCTTCTTTTCTGATATACTTATAATTTCCCTTGTGTATCTTATGAATGGGGATCATCCTTTCATATCATACATGAAGTCTAAGGATGCGTTGTCACATGGTCTATTCAAATGCAGTGTAATCCTTTTGCCCTTCAGACAAAATCTTTTGAAATGTCTAATGCTACTTAGGTAAAAAATGACATTCCATGTCATTTATCAATAAATAATCACTTTGCTTTTACAGATAAAAATGCAAACTGTTCATTTGAGTGTATGGAGTGGTTTTCAATACAAACGGCACAATTCAACAGGTTTTAACAGAGGTTATGGAGTTTGGCTCTGTAGTCTTAAATATATATTTAATGGCAGTATTTGTGTTACAGTAAAGCAGAGCCAAAGCAGTTTGTTTAAAGAGATTCTTGTGATTGTTCTCACGTTTCATGACTAGACAGGATTTATGTTCATTTGTATTGGTTATAATTGACTGCAAGTCAACAGTTGGCTTTTCAAAAAGAAATTAAGTTTGAAGGACAAATATCATCTCATGCTCTAAAATCACAGTACCATTTAAATCTGTAGGAATATTTATTAACATTGGCCATAATTTTAGCTTAGAAATGGGAATTGAGGTTCCTAAGTCAAGATCATGGTAGATAACCAGTAATTTTTGGTTAGTAGTTAATTCATATGTCAAATATTAAAATTAACATCTGCCAAATTATTCTTATTTTTAAAATTTATATTATTACAATCTGTGAGACAGAGATGAAATAATCTTGTCTATGTTGACCTACGAAGATAATAATCAAAAAAATATTTTTGTAATGATAATGTACATTATGAGCATAAGCCTTAAGATTGGAGGGAAAAAAGCCAACTCCTGCTTCTCTTTGTTTAATCTAGGAATTGCTTCCAGAAACAAAATTATGTGTCTGTGGCCACTCTTCTGGTGATGGGCATCCTCACAACACATTTGCAGTAAGTCACACTGGGCGATTAGAAATTCAGCTATTAAGCACAAGGCCATAGACCCAATCCCACTAAACAGACTGCCTGTGGTTTTCTCTTAGCCAGTGCCTTCCACTGATGGAGGTAATCAAGAGATGACTAATGCTAAGGCAGAGGTGCAATTCATTGGTTTCTGTTCCTTCTTATATTCTCACTTCAATTGTTTCATCAGATACACAGTTGTAGTTTCTCCAAGTTGATGGCATTAAAGTTTACCTTAAAGATAAATATATAAGAACATATGACTTTACCATTGTCCTTTTCTTGAACCACTGCACTTTTCTTGATCAAATTAATTTGATGAGCTGGTGTTGCTATGTGTAAAATAAATAGATGAAGATTATGGATAGGTGTGACACATATTTTAGGGAAAAGTCTCTGTGTCATGTGCTGCAGGTCATCACATAAATGTGCCAAGGCCTTTTTTTTTTTTTTCACATGTTCTGTCACTGGAGTGCCATTTGTCTCTTCAGACTATGATGTTCAATGAAAATTGCTTTCGTGACCCAATTCACATACCAGTTAGCCTTGGAAATGAATAGCAGTCCTGAAGTGGCTATTCAAGAATTTTTAAGTAGAACAACTTTGTGTTTCTATTTAGCATGGATACAACCTGTATTACTAAGGAATCTCTAAATATGTAAGTCATAGATTTTCATATACAGAATTTTTGCTTGTTTCCTTAAGAATCAAAGTACTATTTTAGTTTCCATGGACTTGAGTATTCCTAAATTGACTCACCCCAAATTTATTTTTTTACTACCCTATACATAATATTTTGTAATTTTTGATAGATAGGGCACAACATAATTAAGACTCTTTTAAGCAAATAATCAGTGTCTTCCTGAATGAAGAAGAAATATGTAGTTTCATACCTAGTTTAAAAAAGAAAGATTTTTCTCAATATGAATAGTGTCAAATTAACATGGAATGCTATTCTTTACAAAAAATATATAAACATTAAAGGTTTTTTAAATAGTAGATGCCAAAGAAAAATAGAAGTTTAAAAAAGCAATAATGTACTATTTTGTGGAAATAGTGGATGCAGAAGACTGGTAATAAATTTTGTACATAAAATTAGGTTTCATAATGGTCTGAAATTACATAGTTTCAGGTTTCATTCATTTTAATTGTAAAGTGTTTGCCCTTCCTGAGCTTTCTTTACAATAATAGCATTTGAAAAAACAGAAAAAATTAAAAAGTAGTGGTAAGTTTTGCTTATATGTGAAAGACTAAAATAATCTTAATGTCTAAGTTTTCTTTGTATGTTTTGAATGAAGATAAATTTAAGTTAAACTTTAAAAATAACTGTATATTTTAACTTAATAAAGAAAATTCATCCAAAAATATACTTTAAAAATAGTGCATTAAAAATGGAACAGGCAGTATTTCTAATTGGTAACATTTTTTCCAAATATAAATATAAAATAATCTCAAAGGAAAATATAAAATAATCTCAGTGGAAAAATTATTTTCATTAGGATTAACTAATAATAGTTTTTGTCCTTTATCTAAATCTAATTCTACCATTTAAAAAAAATCATTCTCTATTCTACTGATGGAAAAATAAATCTACAGCATCACATCTTTGTATTTTCACTGAAATCTTTTCAGAATGAAAACAAACCATGGAGAAATTAAATGAATGTCTCACAGGTGCCATGCAGTTCCTCAATGGCAAGCCTGAATTTATAGCCCAAACTTGTGATCACCAATGTGTTAGTCTTTCCCAAGGTGTGCCAGATTGTACATGGCTGCCTGGAATGTCGTGCTGAACAGGAGTCTGAGGTTAGTTCATGTGTCTAAGGCTGCAGTTAGCCTCCAAGGTAGAAAGAACACCGCGATAGATTAGTGAGGTCTGCTATGGTTGCTGGGGAGATACAGCACGGCCGTGCATGGACCACGTGTCTGCCATCCCTGCAGCGCACCAAACTTAGTACTTCAAATGAGTCACTGAGTGACTTCGCAAATGATGCTTCTTGACTTCACAACACAAGAGAAACACTGAATACTAAGGAGGTGCTTATTTCCTTTATTGATTATATTAGACATAAACTTTCTGTAAGCTAAAATGGCTACATAATGTGATGTAAACACAAGATGCCAACTAAACAAATACCATCTATTCATAGTTGACAAATTCTGTGTGATGAGCACAGCTCTGTCTCTCAGCATTTGTTTAATTTTGTAAGTACTCATATGCTGGGGTGGCACTTGGCTAAGTCCAGAGCACCATGAGATTCTGGTGGGGGGTGCTGAAAGAATGAAAGATGTAGACAGGTTAAATAGGGGTATCTAAAGCCATCCACCTTCCTTTACAATCTGTGTAACTCACATTCATCATAACATGGGAATCATTGTGATAGTTCTCTAAATTCTTAAGAGACCCTACATAATGTCCTGTCAATGGATTACCTTAGTGTCACACCTATTATTGCCATGATTGATCGACCTTCACAAATAAAAAGCCAAAATTTTCCGGCATATGTCTTAAAGTAGCAGATTGAATTAATTTTTACTAAAATATTAAAACCCTGTAAGTTTATTAAGAATCTTGAAGTACAGTACTATAAATCTCAGGGGGCGGGAAGCCACTTTACGAAATGCAGGTTAAAGCCCAAATTACTATAAGGAAATAAATAATGTTACATTTTTTATATTAAACAGATGTCAAAAGCTCTCCATCGTATCATCCTCTTTCAGGTCTTTACTATAACCAAAGATGGAATGAAAACATATGTCAGAGGAGTGTTTTCTGGTGTTTTGGCAAGTAGCCATAAGATGTTAGCCATTCTAAGTATCGTGCCTCCTTATTGTCACGTTGTTGAACAGTAATGGCATTTTTGTGTACCCACTAATAGGTTATATTTACTGTGCCTCTACCAATTCATTGCAGTGCTGGGCAATAGTAATGGTACTCACTTGGATCACCTCTACCTGAAAATTGTAATCTTAAATTCTGTCTACCTTTGTTTTTAAAGAAATGTTCAGGCTCCATGGGTTGTACATTTAATAGTCTAAGAGTGACAATTTAACATTCTTATTATATGTTTGAATTTTATAGGAAAAAGCATTAAGTTCTGGCTTTAACAGACCAGAGTAAGAGAATAAGTGAGCTTCATTGTAAGAGATTACTGTTCAGTACTTGCTTTCACACTCAGGTTTTTCAAATGGTGTATATTTAAGTGGAAAAAATCTTCACTTATTTTACTTTTCTTTCAAGCTTCAGTAATGGGATTGATGCCTTTCTTTTTTCCCTGATAATGTCAAACAGCTTTACAAATGGCTGATTCTGTCAAGATCCTAAATTTCACCACCTTTGGCTTCCCTGCCGCACAATGGCAACCCAAGTTCACTCCTCAATAACTAGACCTTTTTGACACCTCATCTGCCTGATTGGCCTTATTAACACCTACCTGCAGATAATATTATTGTTAGTCTTGCCTACAGGTTTTCATACCTACGCGAATACTGTTTTACATAGGACTCTGCGTGTTAGCTTTAAGTGCTAAGGCAATTATGTAGAATGCTCCGAGTCTTTGTCTTTTGGGTCTTCATTTCAAAATCTTTACCACTGGGTCAAATGCATATTTTGATGAACAAAACTGGTTGGACCTATAAATTAAAAATAAGACTTGGCTGGTCTTGGTCTAGCTGTTTTATTATCACATTCAAATTAAATTATGTTGACCACATTGGATCTTTTCCTCTGCAGATCTTGACTCTGTTATGATTGCCTCCTGAATGTTTCATTTTGATTGTGGATTGGAGGAAATAAGAAAAGGGGATAGTCATGATTTTAAGAATCTCTTATTTACTGTTCCAGGTTCATCTCTCTTTTTAGGCTTTGCATAAATCCTCCCCAGTACCAGATAATCCGTCCCATGGGCTCTGGGATCAGCTTTCTAGGTTGCATATTGGGCAAATTACTTGACCTTTTTTAACCTCATGCTCTCAATCTGTGAAATTAGGACAGTACTAGTATCTGCCTCATAGGATAGTAATGGGACTACATTTGATAACCCCCAAAAGTACTTAGCATGATGACTGACACACGTAAGTGTGCAATTGATGTTTGAGTCAGTATCTGTAGTAGCATCAGTATGCTCTTGCTTAGACTAAAGAGGCAGTTCTGTCTGACGTAAATTTAAACATGTATTTGGTATAAACACTAAGTAAGAGGCTTTGGGCATCACCTTATGTCATGACCAAGACAGATGGAATGTTCCTTACTGAGAGGGAAGTCTTTATATTCATTATTTTAAGTTGAACACTTGACTTTTTCACTCACAAAAATCAGTTATCTAAATGTTTTCTGATTTGCTATCCTACGTGAAAGAGGAAGAACCCTTCCTCACCAGACCTAAACGATGTCTTCTGGCAGTCAAGGAAAATCATGGCCAAAGAATGTTAGGAAAAGTGATTGTGCCCTCAATTGTCTGTATCCAGTTAGAACACATGAAGATAGGAAATTAGGAAGTACATGTGGCAGTGCCAGATTATCTCAATTATTTATTCCCTCCTCTATTATACATGCATTGGCAGAGATTAACCAAGAATTAAAGATAAATTACTACTTAGTAGTATTGATCATTTTAACTAACCAGCTGAAGACAGTTAACCAGGGGTAATGTTGTGGTAAATTTTTTGGAGAGTCCTTCCTATAAAACTTATATTGCAAGTTAACTCTTTGCTATTAGTGTAAAGTTGTGTTGGTATAAATTTGAATTTATTATGAAACAGGAAAAAGCAGATTTGTTAATTCATGTTCATTTTGAGTAGTTTATATTCACTATTGCAATAGTATTGGTATTATCCTAGATCTTTTGGTACGAAATAAACCTTAAGATAATCAAATATTTCTAACACTTACATTACAGCTGATTTTGTTAATGCCATGAAGCTATAATATAGTGACAGTGCTTAGGGCTACTATTGAAAACCTCCCAGATTCTCCACTGGAAACAGAA